ACCATTTCCGCGAGCTCCTCGCCATAGGGTTGAGGGTTTAAGGGTCTAGGGGTGTAGGGTTTAGGCGTGTAGGGTCTAGGGGTTTAGGGTTATAGGGGTTTAGGGGTTTAGGGTTTGGGGGTTTAGGCGTTTAGGGTTTAGGGTTTAGGGCTTCAGGGGTTTAGGGTTTAGGGTTTAGGGGTTTACCTGGACCCCAAATAACCTACCTTTTTAGGGTTCCTTAATATAGTTTCTTTATGTAATTCCTTAAAAAGGTAGGTTCTTTGGGGTTAAGGCAAGTCTTAAACCACAAGCGCATGGACAGGGGCGAGGGTTTAGGGTTTTAGGGTTTAGGGCTGTAGGGTTTTAGAGCTTAGGGGTTTCTTAGACTTTTAGGGTTTCGAACGCTTTAGAACTTGGATATCAGCTGATGTCTGCTCTCGAGCTACTCAGGAAGGTCAGATCCTGCAACAACAAAAGCTCATCAGGATTGTGCTGGAGAGTGAGCCCTCAAAGCCTAAACCCTACACAAAACCCTAAACAATGTTATTCTATCGGCCTCGGTACGGCATCGCTGGTCTAGCTGCTCCATCTCGTGGCGGATGCCTGCTCACGGCCCAATTCACGGTTTAGCATTTAGGGTTTGCTGTAATGTTGTGATGTAGCTCTGGCCATGACTCCGTGAAGGTTTGAGATGTGTGGGTTCAGAGCTTTCGCAGCAAAGCACCGTCATACTGTGAAGTCTCCTACGCCGCGACCCAAAACCCCAAACTATTGAACCGCACAGCTTTAGAATATAGCGCTGGCTTCTGACTTCTGATCTTGAAAATTCTTCCATGCAGCACATTGTAATGACAGCAAATTACTGCCATTCGTGAAATCTCACGCCGCATGCTAATGTCGCCGCCGTCGGTGTTGCTGATGCCGCTGCTGCCGTTGCTACTATTGCTGCTGCCGCTCTGTTGACACTGCTGGCACTACCACTGGTAATTAACCGCCATTGCATGGAGAAACAATGGAAGCAAGAACAAGGAACCAAAGACAAGAAGCTCTGGTATCCACTCAAGACCGAAATACCTAGAGGATCGCATTACGACAAATCAAGGCAGTAGTTCATGGGCTTGAGAAAGTGCAGGAAAGACTGAATGTTCAAAGATGTACCCGCCAAACCCTACACGCGAAACGCTAAACCATAAACTAGGCCCTGCATGAACCCTGGTCCCTAAGGTGTAACGATATCCTAAACCTTAAACACCTAAATGGTCCCTAAAGCACAACGATATCCTATACCCTAAACCCCTCAACCCTAGAATTCTGACGCCCCGAGCCATCAGCGACCTTCCAATCGCCAAAGCCCTGCTCCGAAGTGCCTCAACCCGTATGGAAATGAGTTCCCCTTAACAACACAAAGTGTACCGACAACACAAAGTATACCAAAACCCCCCAAATTCCGAAGAAAGTAAATGGGAAGGTCCCCTAAACCCTAAACCCAAAGCCTAAACCAGAGGTCAAGCCGGCAAGCCTACAGCCCTAAAGCCCTAAACCCTAAACCCTGAAACACTAAACCCTAGACCGAAGGTCAAGCCTACAGCTCCAAGCCTCAACCCATAAAAGTCTCTAAAGCCGTAAGACCCCCCAGGCCGAAACCATGCAGGCCCTCAAAACTCACAAATCACGAAGCCCTGAAGCCCTAAACCCGAAACTCCTAAACCCCAAACCCTTAAACCCTAAACCCTAAACCCTTAAACCCTGAACCCTTAAACCCTTAAACCCGGAAACCCCTAAACCCAAAGCCCTAAACCCTAAACCCGCCTTTTCTGTCGTGGCAGAGGCTCCGGATCTGCTGCACGAGGAACTCGACCTCCTGAGAGACAGCTTCGGTTAGGGTTTAGGGTTTAGGGTTTAGGGTCTAGGGGGTTCCCTCTCAGGGTTGAAAGTTGAAAGGTTTAGGGTTTAGGGTTTACGGGGTTCCCTTTCAGGGTTGAAAGTTGAAAGGTTTAGGGTTTAGGGTTTAGGGTTTATAGGGTCTAGGTTTTAAAGGGTTCAGGGTTTAGGGTTTATAGGGTTTAGGGTCTATAGGGTTTAGGGTTTGGGGTTCAAGGGTTTAGGGTTCAAGGGTTCAAGGGTTTAGGGTACAGGGCTCAAGGGTACGAGTATAGGGTTTAGGGCTTAAGGGTTTCGGGTTTAAGGATTTAAGGGTTTAGGGTTTAGGGACTTAAGGATTTAGGGATTTAAGGGTTTAGGGTTTAAGGTTTAAGGGTTTGGGGTTTGGGGTCTTTTGGTTTGTGGGCCCTTGGAGACTCCAAAAGCCCCCTTAGTTCAGGAATATACCTTAAAACACACCAGGAGCCCGAATCTAGACTACAGTGTATGGGTAGTTCTCTAAGCTAGGGTTCCTTTTTGGGTCCCCAATATAGTACGGCCTTATAAAGAGGACCCTAAAAGGGACCCCAATTTAGAGAACTACACATATACCTTAATTAAGGGGCTTTGGAGTCTCTCGGCTCTAGCGGGTTTAGGGCTTAGGACTTCTAGGGTCTAGAGCTTCAGGGCTTCAGGGCTTTCGGTGTTCAGGAATGAAGGTGTCAGGGGTTTTGGCGGGGTTCTGCTTGGAGGTTCATGGGTAGTTTATGAGTGGGCTTATAAGTAAGGTAACTATGACTATACCTTACATTTAGGTGACCTATACTTTCATGAAGCTCCACTCAGGGCTTTAGGGCTTCAGGGGTTGAGGGAGTGAGGGCTTCAGGGTTTTAGGGGTTTCAGGAGCTTGGGCGGGGAGAGAGGGGGGGCGGCGAGGGTTCCAGGGCGACTATGTACGATCTTGTGAGTCCTTTAGCATTCTATACTCATCAGCCACACCGCCGGATCAGTACAGCTGCAAGCCTGGACACAAACCTCCTCTCGAAGATTGCTTCAGCTTTTGTTCTGTGAGCCCTAGTGTAGGGGCCTTAATAATTAGAATAGGGTTTTGGGTGCCCATTATACTATAATGATTATAACTTATAATAACGAACGCCCCCCCCCTCACCAAAAAAAATACACACAAAACTATATATATATATATATTATTATTATTAATATTAATAATATAAAAAAATAATGTAGGCAATTATTTAGGCCCCTATGTTCGCCCCTTTACCCCTGCCGGGCTCGGCTACGATCCTTGACAAACTAACCTTGCAGTCTGCGAAGGCCGTACTGGCACCTTCATGGGATACCCGAAGCCACAGCCTCTCCCTGATTGCTGCATTTAGAACGAAATGCAGTCGATGATCTAAATCCTGCATTGCCTCAAGGACCCTAACCTACGGGAATTATGGTAATTTCTTTATGACGGGAAATGCAAGATTTATACCATCAACCGTAGGATGCCCCATTCAAAGCATCCGAAACCCCTAAACCTACACCTAAATCCACACGGCTGCCTGATCTTCTGCAACATGATGCGCCCCGCCGGAGCCAGGAGTGGATCTGTCGACCTAGGTCCCCTAAACCCTAAAACATCCCTCAATCCTAAATCCTACACTCTAAACCCTAAACCTGAAACCCTAAACCTAAACCCTAAACCGCTTCTACGGACCTGTGGGGTAGGTGGGGCTCAGGGGTGGGCCATTGATTGAGGGTTTAGGGTTTAGGGCTAGGTTAAAGACGAAACTTGCAGGAAAACTCTTCGTATCGCTTCGTCCTGTCGTCAAAACTTCTGGCATCAAAAGGCCTCTGTTTGTCCACAGGTCCTATGCTGCAAGATTAATAATTAGGCGCTGAAGCAACCAGGGAGAAAAAGTATAGACTTTTATTTCATAATGGTTCCTTTAGGGAACAGGTCCAAAAGAAGTATTAAAGTATGGTACTCCAAAGCCCAGAATAATTAGGCGCTGAAGCAACACCGAGTCAGGTGCAAGGCCACGGTCTGCTTGCCTTCAAGAAAATCTCCAAATGGGTAGTTCTCTAAATCAGAGTCCCTTTCTGTAGATCCCCAATACAGTACGGCCCCCTTATAATAGGACCCAAGAAGGGACCCTAATTGAGAGAACTACCCAAACATGCTCAACAGAAGCATCTCCCCACAACACAGAGTGCAAACGGCGACACTGAAACCCGTCAGTCTTAACCAGAAAGTTCTGGGACAACTCGAACGTTGACGAACAAAAACGACCTCCCCCGCCAGAGTCAAGCGCAAGACCCGTCCCCGCGTGCCTGAACCTCATGACAAAAACCTGGTAAGAAATGGGTAGTTGTCAAAATTATGGTCCCTTTTGGGGTACCCTAAATAATAGGTGCCGTATTATAATAAGGACCCAAAAAGGGACCATAATTTTGACAACCACCCAAATATGAAACTGATTTGGAGCTTCCGCTGTAACAAGAGAAGGAGCTTAGAACACCCAAGTCTTTTCTCCAATGTACCCATAGGCCCCATAGTAGTTCCTTTTTTGGGGGTTTATATTTAGGATCCTAAATATAAACCCCAAAAAGGAACTACTATGGGGCCTATGGGTAAAGTTAAGCAGAAGATAAACTTTCGGAGGCCCTCGAAGAGTCGCCTAAGCCCTGATCCCTTCAATATCAACCCTACGCCCTAATTCTAGGACATGTTCAAGTGGGGAGTTTAGGGAATATAGGGCTTCTATAAGGCTTCTAGAAGGTATATAGGCCTTCTATAAGGCTCCTCTAACGGTAACTACCCACCTGAAAATGTCCTAGACTAACGCCAGAAATCCTCAACCCTTATCCCTAAACTGCAAAGCCCTAAACCCTAAACCCTAAACCCTCAACCCTTATCCCTAAACTGCAAAGCCCTAAACCCCAAACCCTTGAGCCTTCCTGGAACCGAACCCATTTAAAATAATATTGAAAGGCACACCCAAAACCCTAAACCCTTCCAGGAACCCGTTGAGTAATCCTCTAAAAGGAAATCGGCAAGGGAAACCTGACCCGCTAGATCCACTGAAACCCTAAACCCTCAACCCTAAAATCCTAAACCCTAAAGCCCTGAACCCTGAAACCCTAAGCCCTCAACCCCAAAATCCTAAACCCTAAAGCCCTGAACCCTGAAACCCTAAACCCTCAACCCCCAAATCCTAAACCCTAAAACCCTGACTCTAGAACTGCTGAAGCTTGCCGGAAGGCCAAGTCCGCTGCCGGGCACGACGAGGATCTGCTGAGAGTTCTGCCGGGCCGCTTATCCTTCAATTTTAGGGCTTACAGGGTTCAGGGTTTTGGGGTTAGGGGTTTACGGGTTAGAGTTCAAGATTCAGGGTTTCAGGATTATACCCAAAGGCTCCATAGCAATTCCTTTTTGGGGTTACCTAGTCGGATCCTAAATATAAGCCACAAAAAGGAACTACTATGGGGCCTATGGGTACTCATGGTTTAGGTTCAGGGTTCAGGGGTTTAGCGGGTTGCTTTTGTTTGTGTGTTTAAGTTGGGGTTAGGGTTCAGGGGATGTGCATACTGGTCATGATGTCATGGTGAAAATCAGGATGACAAATCGCAGTAATCAAAATTTGATGATGATACCGTGGCGATGAAGCCGGTGCTTGTGATCTTCAGTGAACCTGTGAAAATGCATGCTTGTAAAGTTTAGGCTTGATGGTCGAGGGTTTCAGGTTGAAGCTGGTAAAGCACAGCCGATGCGGACCATTGTCCGAGACCCCAATCCCTGCTGGAAATGATGCCTTCAAAGCCTGCATCCCGAGGTCGTCTAAGAAACCCGCGACGACTGCACCCGAAACGCCAACAGCAGTCTATCGCTGTGCATCAAAAAATTCACAAAACGTCATATCAAACACATTATCAACTGCTACTGAACCGCCACAAAAGAACCACGGTCGCCAAGGCCACAGAGAAACAAACAATGACCCCACGTTGTAAGGTATCAGATACAGCAGGCACAACCCTCCTGCGAGAGCGAATCGTGCAGTGACGTGGTCGAGGCTGTAAGCTTCGGAGAGGAGCACTCCTCGCATCACCATTGAGACGTAAGCATGTAGTTGCCCTTTGGGCGCTGTCTCTACTCCTGCCGCTGCTTATAAATCTTCCTTTAAAAACCAAATACCTCTTTGGGCTATGTCATGTTTTACAAGGACTATCCGGGGATACTATTGCTAATTGCCTCCACCCCGCCGACCTACACAGCCTCTGAAACCATGAATGTGAGTCTTTCACTTGTCCGTTTGTCGGTCCCCAGATCTTCCATTCTTGCTTAAATAGCTTTAACCTGTGTTACGTCGAAGAAAATTAAGCTATACTTGTTTATTTAAGACTTGTTGTAAATATTGCTTAATTACGCAACTAACCTTGCTTAGTTAGAGAAGCCGGACAAAACCCTTTAGCTTAAGAAAACAACATATTCATTCTAATGTATGTCCTGCATTTAACTTATTTCTTAAGGAAGCACCGGAATAGTTCAGGTCCCCTGCGACCCCAAGCGCCAACAAGAGCACTGTAAAGAGCTTGCAGGTACTGTGTTAATCAGTTGCAA